TAGAAAGCTGCACTTAAGCTTATTTGGTGGTGACTGAGTGATAAACCTGCTGAGTGGTCACATGTTTTGCGTTTGTCTTCTTTTGAAATTCACAGATTGTGTAAGTGAACATTATGTTTTGATGTCTTGCCCTGCTTTGTGATTACTTGCATGCCGCCTTTGTATCAGTTATTTTTAGTTTTGGAAATGTGTTGCGTCATAAGACCTGGGAAATGAAGACGTAGTGGTGACACAGCGTCACTGCGCAGGAGGAAGAACATTAACCTTAGCCTATATTGTGCTTCTGGGAGATTGTCACTGACTCGTTGTACAACTTCCTGCCACTTTATAAGTTCCTTCTTGATTGATGTTTGGGCCCCAGTGGAAGCACTTACTGTATTTGTCCATTGCTGCTACTATCATCATGTCTGGGCTCCCATTGTCATGTTAATAAATATTAGTTTACTAAACCCTCAACAGGAAGCTCGGGTATATATCTACACTAAACAGCCACACTGAATTCAAACATTTAATTAGGCTTTAACCATAGGCTTTAACACTTTTTCTCCCATGTTTCTGTCTTCACTGAGTTGATTGTGACGGAGCTACCAGCTTTATAGGTAATTAGTTACATGTGCTTAATACTGAACCCACGTTTCCCGCTCCCGCCCCCTCCCTCCTCCCCTCTAAGGAGATTGGCTTTGAGTAATTTGTCAAATGTGATAAGGTTGTGGCTGTTGCACTTAGAAAGCACGGCATAAACTGGGATTTAGTGTGTATGTATAAAGTGAGTAGTGAATGCAGAGCTGTTGCTCCTTCACAGAATGGGCCAGGCTGCGACCCTGCCTTGTAGGAGAGGCGGGTCTTATGTGATGGAGCTGCACGAATGGTACAGGTAAGATTTTCACTTGATTTTATAATGTACATGCATAGCTTCAACTGTATGGATGCAGCTTAAGGGTTTTATGTAATGGATATGACCATGAAACTATCTTACTTACATCAAAACAATTATAATTGTTTTGGAGAATGCTATTGTTTGAGAGAAAATGTCACTGTCTATCTTAAATTGTATCTACTTGCCCTTTTGTAACTTTATTTGCTTCTGTACTTCCTGTGGAATTTTTTTTCTACCTTCTTTATTTCCATGACGATACACTGCTGCTTAGCTTTACTTTGCAATGTTAAAGTGGTTAAAAATCCTTTGGCCTAATTAAATTACCTAAGAACTGTCCCTAGGTGTACGCAAGCTTATAGGGATAGGTTGACCTTAATTCTCTTCATTCTGAATTTAAAGGACATGTTTGTCCTGCTACAGATCTGACCCTCACCCAGACTGCCTCTGTGTTTTCTTGTGTATTACAATAACTGACATTGTTATTTCCTTTAAAAAACATTTGTTTCTTTGTTTTTCTGATAGGAAGTTTATTATTGAATGTCCAAGTGGACTAATCACTCTTCATGAGTTTCAAAAGCATTTCTGCAATGGAACAGGGGGCAGTGAGTCAGCTGAGTATGCAGAACAGATATTTCGCACATTGGACAATAATGAGGTAGGAAAATGATTCTATGACTTTATGCTAAATATCTCTTAAAATTGAATCTTTGAATCTCAAGTCTGGAGGGATAGTTTTCCTACTTCGCAAGATGATTGTAATTGATAAATCAAACAAATATATCTTGGGCTACAACAAGTAGTCAACTAATTAATTTAATCTATTAACTAATTAAATATATAAGTAATTATTCATTAAAGAAATGGCAGAATATGCTGTTTTCAGCCTCTTGCTATTTGGAGATTTTGGTTTACGAATAGTTTGTCATTTGTTTATTAATTAGGTTGTGAACACTTTATAAATCATTAATAAGCTTTTATAAGACATGAGATAAACAGGGCAACTGTGACCGGTTGCTTGCCAAATAGTGAGCCGCCCACATGTATCTGTACTGCTAAGTCTTATATTCTTACTTCGTCTTCTTAATCAGCCAGCATCCTTGGTATCTGTTGTTCACTGAGTTGATTCTCGCTAAAGCCAATATAAGGCTTAGTCATCTTGCCAAATAGAGAGCCTGTGTTGATGTATGAAAACTATGTTAGAGCTGGTTTATAAATGGTTCTTAATGATTGATAAAGTGTGTACAACCTAATTAATAACCTAATTATAAACCCTTTATGAATCCTTTATACGGGTTGTCTTATTGTAAAGTGTTACCCATTTAACTGAAAATGTGTCCAACGCAATATAGTGCATACCACATACTAACCCTAACCCCACTCTAACCCTAGTTACAAACTTTAAAAGAAAGTATCCTTGGGTACCTCAACTTTAAATAAGCCATACCTTTTGAAGTTCTAATACACATGTCACATAGGACATTTTTTTTCTATAAATGTATTGATTGAACAATTAATTGATTAGTTGAGAAAAAAATGATGGCGAGATTTTTCGAGAATGCAACCCTGAACACTTTATAATGTTGAAAATAATTAAGAGGAGTAAATAACAATACAAGATGATAATGAAAGTTCTTCTCTTCAGGACGGGGTGGTGGATTTCAGGGAGTACGTCATGGCCATCAGCATGCTGGTTGAAGGCTCTGCTGTGGAAAAGCTGCGATGGTCGTTTAAGCTCTATGACAAAGACAGAGATGGAGCCATCACTCGGGAGGAGATGCGGGAGATTATGCAGGTGTGTGTGTCTGTGTGTGTGTGTGTGTGTGTGTGTGTGTGTGTGTGTGTGTGTGTGTGTGTGTGTGTGTGTGTGTGTGTGTGTGTGTGTGTGTGTGTGTGTGTGTGTGTGTGTGTGTGTGCGTGCTTCTTGGCGTCACACTGTTTGTCATGTATCATGAGATGATAACCCATCATCTTTCAGTGTACTGTGTTTTCATTTGTTCACAGGCTGTGAATAAAATGGGGTTAGCAGCTGATTTAACCAAACCCAACCCACTTACAGCTGAAGAATGTACCAACAGGATATTCCTTCGATTAGATAAAGACAATAATGGTAAGGAAATTATTTTTGCATATATGTTTTTAAAGAGTGCATATGTGGAATTTGTTTAAAAATGAAAACTCTGAAAAAATAGCTCAAATTGCCTTTTTCAAAAATTATGAATGGAGTAGAACTGAGGTAATGCATAAAATAATAAAAACTTTAGCATTTGAAATTTCCACACATTAAATCTAAATCTACTAAACATGATGAATTCCTCAACAAGGTGTAGAGTTCAACATATTTTGCTGAAGTTTGAGTTGTAAATGTTGTCCATATAACACTTAAATTGAAAAAAAACCATATACAACTAATATTCTTCCTATGTGGTTTATTTAGGTATACAATTATAATGTTATGTTCCAAAATGATATTGACAGTAGTTAATTAACATGCTCTAGCTCCCTTGTAATAACCCTTGCAGGCATGAATTAAGGAGTGTGTAGAACACTCTCTACACACTCTCTGTCTGTGTTCATCGCCTGTCCCTATTATGTCTTTAGCTGTCATCAGTCTGGAGGAGTTCATAGAGGGAGCGTTGGATGATGACTGGATGAGGGAGATGCTGGCATGTGACCCCAACACTGTGAGGGTGGAGCGGCCGGCAGGAAAGGACCCTGCTTTGGGGACCCATGGTTGACCCGTATTGTTTAATATTTACTAGAAGCAAAGAAATTAACCGATGTTGATGTTTTTGCACCCAGCTTCCACTCCCTGTGACACCGTAGATCTGGAAAAGCACTAAAACCTGTAGCTCTTGACTTATTACCTTGAGATCATATTAAAAGCATTCATATTTGCCTTGTTTTCTATCTATATTAAATAGTATCATAAAAACAATGACATTTTAGTTGTTTTTCTCATCATTTTTTATTAAACTTCAATTATAAACCCTTTAATCAGTTTCATGTAAACATATTGTAATGTCTACAACAGCTCTTGCTTTACCTTGACTGCCTAGCACAATGTAACACCTGCCCTGCATACCTTTGCAACTATCCAGGATTTGTAATTTAATTATTTATTTCCACTTAATTTTAGATGCAGATATTGTACTTTTAATTACTTTGCAGACAAATAATTTACTGACAAAACATATTAGTGTATACAAAAATGTATGCAGTGTCTTTAAAATAAAAAGTTGTTGAAACATCTTCATCTTGATCAGCTACAACACAACGTGACAATAATGTAATCAAATGATATAATACGTAACAACAAAGGGTATTTCTGTATATGAGGTAATATTGCTGTAAATGTGTCTGTACTTCTATTTAAATAAAACAATTGAACTCATAACGTGTATTTGTATTGGACTGTTTTTCACAGTAGTATGACTACATTGTGGATAGTGGATGCTACTTCCACCAATGACACTTCTAGACCGCTTGATGTCGCCTGTGCTTGTTTCTGAACAGCTCCCAGACTTTGAGGAATGCTGCATTAAATGTTCAGCAAAACGTGGAAGATACCAGCGTCATTGAGGTCGACAAGTTTAGGGTTGTCAGTCTGCGGTTAAATGTGATTGTTATTATCAGTTTCCAAACAGATAAACAGAAAAGATGAATGGCTTTCAAAAAATTATATTTGCTTCCTGTCCATCTCTGACATCAACAGTGAGGAGTTGTGTAGCGAAACACTCTTGTCCGATCTTCCATATATATTTTGTATCTCCTTTATTCAAGAAAATATAAACATCAAACATTATATTGACATAAAAGACATATTTCGTTGTGATTTTTACTGTTTGTAATAGTGGTGTCATATTATTGTAATTCTGAGGAAACATTTTGAAGAATTTGCTTTAGACCATTAATTAATTCTTGTGAATGTAACATTCTACTTTTTTTTTTACAATTTTGAATGACACTTCTCTAACTTTATTTTTGAGATTACATTTGTCCGATCTTCCCTATGCGACAGTGAGTGCACCACTACTCTCGTCATGTAAAAAGTTCCTGCTCACGGGCCAATCCCGGTCGCAGCGGGGCGGGATTTTCCAGCCGTGACGTCCTGAGTTTTCCAACAACTAACAAGCCTTGACACTTCGACATCATGGCGTAGCGATGTGGACAGACGGGGGTAACACTGGTTGGCACGGAGAAGTTCAGAAACTGAGCATTGTGGAGGTTTTGTAAACAGTTGAGAAAACAAACTGAAGGAAATCCCGAAATCTTGTCGAACAGACTTCCGGTAAGTTGAAGTTTTGGCTGTGATTTGTTATGCATTCTAACTTAGGTTTATGAGTTGCTGGCGTTTATTCGGAGCAAACGGACTGCTGTGGCTCATGTTGTAACGGTTAAGGCCACTTTTTTAGTTTTTCCGCTGTGAAATTGTTTTCCAAATGGTCCTGGGACTTCTGGGGTTTCCAGCATCCCAACAGTTTACCAGCTAGTAACGCTATGCTAGTTAGTTTTCCACTTGTTGCACATTAGCACGGAGAGAAAACGTCGAGAGCAAATGTTTTTGGGTCATCCTAACATTACAATTGCATAGGGACGTTAATGTTTTACACCAAAACCCAACACAACGATGGTGTTTGGTGGGACCCGGCTATGTAAAGGGAGGTTAAAGGTTTCTGACGTGGGTTTCTGACTCAGCCTCTGACTCTGCCAGACATTGTGGTTAGTGAGATACTCCCAGAGCCCGATCCCACCTCTTTTTACTTTAGACTGCACTTCATCTGTTTTGATGTGGCCTTGAGGTGGTGCTGACAAACTTTTGAACCGACTATAATCCAGTTATCCAAGATGAACTGACCCATACTGTAACTGTGTAAAGTGTACTGTCTGCCATGATATTTGATCAGCTGTTGAATTGTCCTCCAGTTAATACCTCTGCCTGAGCATCCAATTAGTTTAACACTTCAGTTTCTATAACATCCGAAGTGTGGGATAGTTTAAGAAGTTGTTTTCTTATTTAACTCTGGGGGTTTCTTTCAAGATGTTAATTATTGTCCAGCTGTTAATGGAAACCCAAATTACTCTCTATTTCACTTCCTTCCAGTCTTTACTTTAGCAAAAGTAAACAATCCAAGGAATTTACTTAGAATGAGCACTTGGCTTATAAAACTCAAGTATCTTTTACTTGTTTTGCTGATACAGAGTGACGATAATGTCATATGCTCTGAAAAAAAGCAAATATGTGTAAACCTTCAGCTGTTTTAATTTGCACAACCTAACCCTATGTGTACCACGTGTGCACTTCAGTGTTGTATTGCTTTTTGGCACATTGTCAAAGACAAATAAGTGAAATGAAGGCACAAGCAGTGCAGGCCTGAGTGATATGAAAATAATGTGTGCTGCTGTCCAAAATGAATGAATTGCAGCTATGATCCTGTGCGTGCATAGTGCATACAGCCAGGAAGAAAATGTGAAGATTTTATCACGTTGCCCCTTTTTTCAAATCAAGGTCAATTTCCATCTTTTGTTCAGTGTGTTTATACTGCATAGCCCATTAAACAGAAGCCTTGTTGGTTACTTAGTTTAAGTTACTGATGGTTTATAAAGAGAGAAAAGGCTCAATCAGCCTCGCACCCACACCATCTTTCATATAAGCTGCATTGTTTGGTGGTATAAAATTAGTGATGATGTGTTCTGCCTGCTCACTCGGGTTGGAAATAGCTGCAGGTTATACGAGAGCAGCGCCCTGCCGGCGGCTGGGGAAAGCTCTAAGAGTGTAAACACCCGGAGAATCAGCAGACAGCAGCCTGCTCACTGCACCGTTACATCATTCATGCACCCTTTAACTTGTACTGGATAACATAAGCCCTGTCACAAGATCATATCATGTTCATAACATGCATCTTGTATGGTGTGGCACGACAGGGTATATGGTGAGTCCCAAAATCACACTTAATAATATGTTTATTTACCGAAATATAATTCACAAGGTGCTTCACAAGAAAGAACAAAAGTTCAAATTAAGACCACAGAAACATGAATACAATAACAACATGAAGCAGAAATGTAAGGTTAACATAAAAACAAAACACTGACCACGTCGAGTCCCGAAAGGAACAAACATAATAACGGAACACAGCACACACATCTCAAGTATAAACAACAGCCAATGTAAAAAGATAGGTCTTCAGTAGTTTTTTAGACTTAGATGAAGCTTACCCATGGTACAGTATTTTTAGAGCTGAACAGAGCCTTCATGGTTTTGAAGTGACATTTAATGATGAGGTCTGGAAACAAGAATTAAGCTTTACTCATGGAAACAAGGAGTAAAGGTAAAGACTTAGTCATGGCACGGATGACTCAGGGTTTGAAAGTGTCATTATGTGGTGAGACCTGGTTTCTACAAAAAAAGCTATATATAGATTGCTTTGTGTTACGTAAAGCAAAAGGCTGTGTGATTTATGTCTGGATTGTAAATTCCTCTCTTCCCGGGCTTTTTTACCACCAGTGCAACTAAAACATAAGCTGTTAAAGGCAGTTGCATGACTGCTGTAAACACTTTCTCCCCTTAGAGACAAGTGGCCCTGAGGCTTCTATGTTGCTCTCCATTTCCTGTGTGCTCAAGAGTATAGGTCATTCTGGATTGAGGACTACACGATCTTCCCTTTTTCTTTTTTTCACAAGAAATACGTCCGCTCTCTGTAGTGTCTGTCCAGTGTGGATGGGTTATGATGTTTTTCCCTGCCTGAAGGGATCAGAGCTGACGGGTTTGAAAAGCCATTATAGCGGTCCACTCTCCCCCTTGTATTCATTATTTTCCGCATGTCTCCATGAATTATATGGATGTTTTCACCAAAGGGCAAGATTGCTTTTTGAATGCTTCTTCTTTCTTTTTGCTTTGAGGCTCTTTGTGTCTGGACAGAGTACGCAGGCAGGTGTTGTTCCAAATGCCATGTGTACTGTAGCGTAACATTGCATTTTTTTCTCGTCTTTGTCTTCTCATGCCTCTCAGTCAAAATACCCCACTACCACGAACAAAGCCCCCTCTGTGCGTCTTATGGTTGGTGTAAGTGGTGCTCATAGAAGGGCGGACAGTGAGACTCTGTTTTTGAGAGAGATGCTTGCTTGTTGGGATTTTTGAGATGTCTCCTTTGAAAACAAGCGTGCACCGATGAAATATATACTTACGGGAAAATACAGGTGCAAATATCTCCTAGTTAATGCTTTCTTAATTCAACAAAAAGGGAAAATACTCAAGTAATGGCCTAAAATGTCAGAAAATAGTCAAACAAGGTTTCCAAGGTGTGACTTAATGTTATTGCAAAATGCAAATATTTTCCCTTTTTAATATGATATAAAACAGAACACCTATGGAAACTCCTGATGTTTACAGAAACAATATATCTTTTATCAAAAATAATTGTTTGGGATTTGTTTTGAATCCACATATCATTGAAGCTTTGGTCATAAGTATTATACTCATTATTTGTCTTCACAAAAGGCTGTGAGAAGATGTAACCTTGCAGAAGATGTGCTCTTGAATATCTTAATGTGAACATTCTCAGTTTTCTGACATTTTATAGACAAACAATGAATCCATTAGTCAAGAATATAATCCTTTCTTGCTCCAGTGATGCTTTTTAGGCAAAGTGAGGCGCAGACAGGGTGCCTGCTTGCTCGACAACCCTGCTTTGTTTACCCAAAACGTACTTACTGTGGAGGCATCCCAGGACGTGAGGACAGAGTGGACCTCTGTATTGGCATTCTTTGTGCTGAGCTCTTTCTGGGCTTTCTGGGAAGTGCTGCTCAGTCTTTACACCTGTTTGGCATTGATTGACACGTGGACAGCAGCTCTCTGAGCAGCAGGTCTGGTCTTGGCCTAATCTGTTTGAAGTCTGTTTGCTGTAAGCCAAGTGCTAACCTTACCCATATTTGCCTTTCTGCCCTGAGAGAAGAGCTGAGTCTGCTGTTTGAGGAGGATACCCTGCAGGCCTCCATTCCAGTTCGAGTCATCATGATCCAAAATGTGTCTTTAAAGACTGGACCACTGCATCTGTTGTGGGAGTGTAGAGATTTCTTTAAGCTCCTTGTTAAGTCCTTTTTCCTGCCCTGGGCTGCCCTGAATCTGATTCAGAGCAGATTGTAGTTTAAAATAAGAAACGTCAGTCTAGAAAAAAGTAAAACCATCACATGGATTTAAGCAAGTCTATGCCAACTATTTTTCTCTTTCTTGTTGCACAACATTTGCCTCAGTGTGTACTGTACACATGTATTGGCCTGAAGGACATAACTGTATATATTTTGGCCAGCTCCGTCTTAGCCTGAGCTGTGCACAACACACACACAGACAGACAGACAGACAGACAGACAGACAGACAGACAGACAGACAGACAATACCAGCAGTTGATACACCTCAAGTATGAAGACATTCAGAATACACTGTAAACCAAAACAAAAAAGAATTGGGTTAATACAATTTTTTTTCTGGTTAAGGTTTTTATCCAAAGAGTTTAGACAACCCTTTCCTTGCTGATATGACTGTTTGTGACGTAAGACACCGTAAGTCCTCACAAACATATGGAGTGCTAACCGTCTTCTGTATTTCTATTAAGTGCAAATGTCACTCAGATGCCACAAATGGGGCATCCCTACTGCTGAATGTACCATTTCCATAGGCCTGATATATTTAGGTCCCCTCTGAAACACACCCATTGAAATGACATCTTTTAAGTTATTTGAGCACACTGTTCCCTAACCTACAACATGCTAATGCTCCCAAAACATTAACAATGGTTGCCTTTGGAAAATAACTATTTGAGCCTGGGTTCACTTTAGTTTTTTAAATGTCATGGTGTACGTCTGCTTGTCCAATAAGTGAGACGAGCCGTCTGCGAGGCATTTTGACCCCCCTTCAGATCCCTACTGTTGGAAAGCACTCAGCATTTACTCTGGAGCTGACTGATGGCATGCTGGTTCCTCTCATCTCCTCTCAGCCTACTGTGCGTGTGTTGTGGAGATCCTATGTTTTAGTGCAAGCTTATTTTACACAAATTGGAAAATGTGCCCACAGGAATGCTTAAATAACAGTGTTAGGTCTGTGGGTGGTTTCCATAAAGTTTGTAAATGGTGCTACGTCCCACTGTGGGGCACTCCCAGGATGTGTGGCAGCCGATACGAAAAGAAAAAGGGACGTGCCTGTGCATGCGTGTATAAGCATGCCTGAATATACAGCAGAGCCTTTTGATTAAACGTCCAAAGAAAATAGGTCCGTTGTGCTGCCTGGGCAGATGTCCAAGGCTTGGACACTAAAATGTATCTCTGCTCCAAACAGTGTGTCCAGTGTCCATTTGGCAGGACATTGATGGGGCCAATAAGGTTAATGGCCTGATTGATATTTTGTATTACATTATTCATCACGTATTCTGACACATTTACATGAGATCGATGCAGCATAGAGCGTTTATCACTTCCTTTTTGGATGTTTATGTTTCACTCTTGTGTGCCTTTAGCTGTCACAGACCCCTGGTTATCATGTCTCTTTGCTTTCTGACATATCACTCAGTCAGTGCAGTCAAACCCATCCCACAAACGCTTTTTTGGCATATGGTTGTTGAGGATGTTCTGCAGTTGCAGTGTAATTCCTGGGTGGGAACCTTCTGTGATCATACTGTATGCTTAACGCCAACATGGGCGCTCTTTGTCTAGAAAGTTGAGTACGACTGTAGGAAGAGGACAAATCCAGCAAAATAAAATGTTTATATTCACATCTTGAGCACACAGCAGCTGCTGTCACAAGGATTTGTAGACTAAACTGTGATTATCTGCGGGGTAATAGTCATAACAATCACGGATGTTTTTAATCAAAAATTCCTTTCTGTTGAATGTGAGATTGCTTGTTTTTACTTTGTGTTACTACTTGTTAGACTGCCAATGTAGATATTTTTAGGAGCTGCTTTTATATATAAGCGATCAATATTTAGATGCACTTTATATGACTTTTGAATAATGTGCATTTTCAGCTATGATCACCAGTGCAACATCTATACTGTTAGAAAACAGATTTTAAACCTGAGCTTTTTTCTCTCTTTTTTTTACGGCTAAATTGTTTCCTCCAGGTTAATCAGTGACTAACGATGATGGCTGATGCCAGCGACATGTTGGCCGCCGCCCTGGAGCAGATGGATGGCATTATAGCAGGTAAAGAGTTGTTATAAAATTAAGTATAAACTTAGTATTATAAATATTTAAGCAGCCATGTGGTAATTCCTGTTTTTACAGCTGTGTAAGAGCATAAATCAGCACAGTGTCTGTTGTATAACGCTTCCATGTTGAGTCAACATTCATAAGGCTTTGTCTAGTGTTATGGTTTATAGCAGCGCTGACATTTTAAATGGACATCACATGATGTCTGAAAGGCTTTAGCATTTGTTCAGTGCTAGGCTGCGTGGCTTGTAGCTATGTTATACAATGTAAACACCAAATGATATTGTGTCTCAATAGACCAGTTCATTTTATTACCTCATTCTTTAGTGTCGCAAATGGATGTGGCCTTAGAGGAGCGGCAGTCAGAGTGAAGCTGAATGACATGATTATATAATTCACTTTAGACCTATACTTCATAGCAGTCTGCCTATGATGGCAGTACATACCATTGTTAATAATAGGAAAAGGGAAGTATCAAAAGTCAAATCGCTTGTATTTCACAAGAAATCTTTACTTTTTTTGCAAAACTCTGTACTGTTAAGAGCAGTAGTTTTAGGAAGTACATGAGAATATATTTTCTAGTGAAGTATTAGATTTAGTACATACGTGTCTTTTTTTGAATTATAGCTCCTCCTAATGTTTGCCTCGCCATTTATACTTCTGCTCAGGCTCCAAGGCTCTGGACTACTCCAATGGGATGTATGACTGCCAGTCTCCTACCTCTCCCTTCATGGGCAGCCTGCGGGCGCTTCACCTTTTGGAAGACCTCAGTAGCGTCCTGGAGTTGATGGACACCGATGAAAGGGAAAGTCTACGCTGCCAGATCCCCGACTCCACAGCTGACAGTCTGGTGGAGTGGCTCCAAGGTCACCTGGTAAGATTTGTTCATGGAGGAAACAAGCTGCATAAGACTCTGAAATCTGTTAAAAAAGAAAAAAAGCAGCATTAGAAACATTGATCCGATCAGATCATCATCATTAGTCGAGATCAAAACTGTGCTTTAGTGTGAAGATCATAAAGTACAGTAACATCTTCTCATCAGAATACTGTAGCCTGGCGTCAGGTCAGTCTATTGGTTCTGTCACATAACAGATTTATCTGGATAAAATCTGGAACTGGAGTAAGGAACACTTTCAGCATCTAAATCAGTAGAAGTTGTGTAACCGTGGAGGAGGTCTTGTCTGTGATGGTTGGACAGAATGTGCTGAAAACATGCTTTAGCACATCTGGTTTGCTTCTGGTTGTGCTCACTCAGCCTGCTGCATTAACACTGTATGACTGTAGACAATCTTGGGCAAACAGTCCTGTGTGAAAGTAGGCGAGCGACTTGTTTGCTAAGCAAAAGATAGGCTGTCTTCCTCTGCTGAGTTCCCTGGGAATGCAAAATGAAATGCTAGTGTTGTAAATGTCCCAGCCTGTGTGCAGCAAGGAACACGCTGACTTCTTGGGAACCAGAGCGTTGTTTGGGAGAGCGATGGGCTGCAGGCCAGATAAATGCCAGAGTTTTTGTGTAATGCTGTAAGTCACTCTGTGCACTGCAGTGTGAATGAGAGCCTTCTTCTCAGCCATGTAAGGTTTTGTTTGTAAAGCAGCACAGACAGTTTAATCTGAGATCAGTGTTAGGCGCTGAAACCTTCAAGGTTGTTATGATCAGCAGAGTTATTAACTTACCTGTACCGCCTCCCTTACCCTTGTCTGCTCTTTAAAATGTCAGTTCTCTCATGGTTCATTTTTAATCCATATTTTCTGTCGCCCTGCAGTCTAACGGGCACATCTCTCTGAGCGGGGGCGACCACTACCAGGAGAGGCTTTCCAGAATCGAAACTGATAAGGAGTCTCTGGTCCTTCAGGTAACCATCTAGCTGTTATAAAATAAAAAAACACGTTTTTCATATATATTTATGTTAGGTAGAAATACAATCTTACTTTTCTTTTGCATTGAGTGACTTCTTGGTTCCACGCAGGTGAGCGTGCTGACAGACCAGGTGGAGGCTCAGGGAGAAAAGATCAGAGACCTGGACCTGTGTTTGGAAGACCACAGAGAGAAACTCAATGCCACAGAGGAGATGCTGCAACAGGTGTGTGTTTGTGTGTTTATATATGTAGTAGAGATCAGGGGTTCCCAAAGTGGGGGTCGAGAGATCATTACAAATAAAAAGAGATGATTACAAATTTTAAAAAATTATAATTTGTATTATAATTATTATTAATAATAATAACGTGTGCATAGACATTTTTCAAAAATATTCATAGGGTGGCAGGAGATTTTGAGGGGTGGCATCCCCTGGCAGAAGTATATGCTGATTTAATCACAGTCATATCAATCAATGTTAACTTGGAATGCCACAATATTGATATTTTAACTCAATAACATTATTGTGGCACATCAGTAAAGCCTTAAATAGAAATATATAAGACGGCAGACATAATTGAAAAATGTTTAACTGAACAATAACAAATAAAAGACCAGCAGGGTACCAAATGTATGCAGACTGCTGCAATAAGTACTTTAATTAACTGTCTCATCGATGTTTGTCTGAATTAATATGATTTTTAATATTATCATATTATTCCTATCAGCTGTCAATCACTGTTATGATTCACATATTCAGTATTATTATTAAATAAACTATATTTTTTGGAGGAGTTAATGATGAATGTTCCTCAAGATGCTTGCTCACCCTCCTTCAAATTTGAATGACCATCATATATCAAAATGCATAAGAATCAAAAGAACAGTTCAGCGCCCCACAACTTTATTGCAAAGTGGAAAGTCCTTACCTACTGGCCTAGTTAAATCAAAGTGGTTACTTTTTTTTGGCTGGGCAGTGTAGTTTTACACAGTCTAATTTGACTTTCTCAGG